CCGGGGGGCGCCTCAGCCCCGCGCGAGCCGGCTGGGGCGGAGCGCAGAACCAGGCACCGCCTTGGCGCCGCCGCGCATCCCGAGCCACCTGACGTGCCGAGGGAGGTGGGGCGGCGACTGCACCCCGCCTTCGTCTCCTTCTCATTGGCTGCCCACGCCATCCCTCACCGCCCTACACTACCTGATTGCAGAGCCCCGCCCCACCTTGACCACGCCCCCTGCCGCGGGGACGGTCCCGCCCCCTCCAGGCTCTCTTGTTCTCACCGGCGGCCTCCCAATTGGCCCCCGCCCCGTCAGCGTTCCTTTCTCATTGGCCAGTGGTGGCTTGTCCGAGGTCCCGCCCCCTGAGCGGAAAGAGACCCTCCCCTTCCCGCGCTGTTCCTTGCGTTGGCGACTAGCGAGCCGCCAGGTTGGGGGTGGGGAGGGGATAAGCACTTCGCCGTCATTGGGCGAGCGGCACAGCAAAGGATGTCTCTTTGTTTGCCATTGGTCGAGGGGAGGTGAAACAGTGCCCAACTGCAGCTGTTCCCGGACCTGGCCGAGCTCTGCGCACCTGCTGTGGGAGGGAATGAGGGAGTTGTGCGCCCATGAGCAGCGGGTCACGGAGCAGAGGTGGGGTCTGCGTGGCTCCGTGTCCAGGGTTGCAGCTCCTTCCTGAGTGAACCTCCGTCACTTAAAGTCTTGTAGGATGTGCCATCAATAATAGTAGAAGCGTTCAAAATGTGCCATAATTTTTAAGGCAGCTAGTAGATGCAGCGCATGCAAAACCCAAATCACTTCCAGGGAGGCTTCACCGACTTTTGGGATTGCTCTCAGCACTTTCTTATGACTACTCGCCTCAAAATAACAAAATGCTTCCACTTTAATGACCTTGTTCTCACTGGCTGCAGTGAGCAATAGAAAATAAAGATGACAACTTACTCGAATACTTATTTACATACTTATTTGCATATTTTTTTCAATGTATGATAGTTTTTCAGCAGATAAGATTATTCTGAGTTTCCAATACATTGTCATATTTAAGACCTGGCAATGCTGGTCTTGCCAGTGCCACGTGTTCTGTCACCCGATTAATGGGCAGGCAAGCTTCTTTGGGTAAATGTGTTGTCAAGGCTCCCCTGCTACTACTGTAAGAAGGGGTTAATTCAGTTTCTGGCCACATAGGTCTATGGTTTTGTAGCTCTTAACTTTTTTTTTGCTGTGGACTTTTATCTCTGCAGCTGGTCTGGATCCCAAGGGCTGGGGCTGACCTGTAGGAAGGATCCATGCTTGGTTCCCTTGAAGTTAGTAAGAGATTTTTCAACTTGTTCTTTCCAGTCTTTACGAAGGGCCAAATCAGGTTCCTATTTGAAGCCAATAGTGAATTAGTTTCCTGTAAAAAGACAAAGCCCTCATCCTCACCACAGCATGCAGTTCCTTAGTGTAAGTAATTACACTGCTCTTAAAAACTGTAGGAGTTTTTAAGGCCTGGCTTGACAAAGCCCTAGCTGGGATAACCTAGTTGGGGATGGTCCTGCTTTGAGTGGGGGTTGGACTACATGACCTCCTGAGGTCCCTTCCAGTCCTAACGTTCTATGATTCTATGTTCAGGTTTATGAAAGGACTCAAAAACATGAATATAAAATTCGCTAAATGTCCCCCACCAGGATTGGGTTTCTTTCAAAAGCCTCCTCCTAAAAGACTACTTACCGCTTTCTAGCAAAGGGAAAGTAAATGAACAACAGCTGCTACATTCAGTTTGCTGACCTTCATTGTCTGCTCTATGTACCTGCTGCCTGCTAACAAAGTGAGTCAACAAAAAAGCTAGGCCCTAGCAATTTGGGTGCTGAACTCCCAATTGAGTTTTTATTCCCTGCTGTGTTGTTGCTTATATTGTGGTAATACCACCACACTTATAATGCAGTGGGATTTCTATTTTAGCAGGGATAATGAAGTTTTCTTATTTTACAAATAAATTAGCAGGCAGATTGCATGAAATTACTTCCAGAGGAGTTGGGAAACAGCGTTTAGGTCTAATACAATACATCCAAGTCAGATGCATATAGGATTGTTGCTTTTCACATTGAACGTGTCATATATATGAGTTTTGTTTATCCAGGCTCTAGATCTTGTATCATATTCTCTGTTGCCAGAGTTAGGGGTAGAGCCCAGGACTCCAGCTTTCCAGCACTTTTTCTGTTGTCTAGCAAATAGCTGACTAACCTATGGGCAAAATATTTGTCCAGTCTGTCTCTTATGGTTAGTGTTAAAAAAAAAAAAAAAAAAAAGGAATACAGTAAAAGCTCTGTTATCCGGCATCCATGGGAAATGGGGGATGCCAGTTAATCAAATATGCTGGCTATCTGAGGGTTATACTTATCTCCAGCCCCGTGGGTTGCAGGCATCTTTGCCTATTCGAACTGCCACCCTTCCCACTGCATCTGGTGTGCCAGGGCTTTCACTCCCTGGCATCAGTGCGCCAGGGGACAGAGAGGGGGGGCCTGTGCAGGCTGCTTTGCCCTGGACCGTGGTCCACGAGGAAGAAGTGAGGCTTGCAGTTTTGCTTTTGCCATGTTGATTGGCAGGTGGTACGTAAGATGCCGGATGCCGGCTAATAAGAGCATTCCAGATGGTAAAGTGCCAGATAACACAGCTTTTACTGTATAATTACTCCTGTAGCTCAAATGATATAAAAATAGGCAGGGGATCTGAAGGTCTGGAAGTTTAGTCTTACTGTTGTGCTATGTGAGAGGTAGCATTTTAGACTT